CTTCTCTTCCTTTTTTGGAAACAGACAGCAAATTCTCCCACCAAAAGCCCTCTTCCTGCTCTCTGGATGTAGGTGAACTACAACTCCAAAACTCAAGGTCAATGCCCACCAAGTCCTTCCAGTATTTTCTGTTGGTCATGGGAGTTCTGTGTGCTGAGTTCAATTCCATTGTTGGTGGAGTTCAGAATGCTTTTTAATTGGTGAACTATAAATCCGAGCAACTACAACTCCCAATTGCCAAGGTCTGTTTTCCCCAAACTTCACCAGTGTTCACATTTGGGCATATTGAGTATTCATGCGAAGTTTGGTCCAGATCCATCATTGTTTTGAGTCCACAGTGTTCTCTGGATGTAGGTGAACTACAATTCCAAAACTCAAGGACAATGCCCACCAAACCCTTCCAGTATTTTCTGTTGGTTGTGGGAGTTCTATGTGCCAAGTTTGGTTCAATGCCATAGTTGGTAGAATTCAGAATGCTCTTTGATTGTAGGTTAAGTATAAATCCCAGCAACTATAACTCCCAAATGACAAAATCAATCCTCCTTCCCAACCCCACATATTAGGTATTTGTGCCACATTTGGTCCAGTGAATGAAAATACATCCTGCACATCATATATTTGCATTATGATTTATAATTTTAGTTAAGTTATAATTCGTGTTGGATTGTTTAAATTTTGTATGGATGTATTGTTGTATTTGGGCATTGAATGTTTGGGTTTTATGCTTGGAATCCTCCCTGAGTCCCTTTGGGGAGATAGAGCGGAATATAAATAAAGTTTTTATTAATTATTACTATTACTGTTACTATTTATAACAGTAGCAAAATGATAGTTATGAAGTAGCAATGAAAAGAATTTTATAGTTGGGGGTCACCACAACATAAGGGATTGTGGCATTAGAAAGGCTAGAAACCACTGTACTAGAGCTTTGAGTCCTCTTCGGAGTCGCTTTGAGTCCCCTTTGGGGGAGATAAAGCGGGTTTTAAATAAATATGATAATGTGTTGTTGAAGGCTTTCATGGCCAGAATCACTGGGTTGCTGTGAGTTTTCTGGGCTGTGTAGCCATGTTCCGGAAACATTCTCTCCTGACGTTTTGCCCACATCTATAGCAGGCATCCTCAGAGGCTGTGAGGTGTGTTAGAAACTTGCAATATGTTGGAAACTAATAATAGAGCTTGAAAAAGTTCCTTCTTCGCTAAAACTCCCAGAATGTATTCATCACAATTGCCACTTGCCATGCTCACTGTGGGATTCTAGGAGCTGTAGTTCAAAGAAGAAGCTTTTCTCAGCTCTCATATGCACATCTCATTACCACTGGTTTCAGCTTGATCTCCAGCAAAAACCTATAGTCTCATCAGGCTGGAGCTACATTTTACCAACAGCTCGGTGTTTCAGGGAGGGATCTGGCTGAGTCTTTTTAGAGATGCTCCAAATTTAACCCAGATACTTCTGCATGCAAAACATATGGTCTGCTTGCTGAACTGATTCATTAATTTCCTACAATGCTCAATGTCATTATAGGAAATTAATGTGGCAAGGTGAACTGATAGCTGGTGTTCTAGCATCTACTAAGGATGCCACATGTTGGCATCTGCCCTAGGAATATGGATAGGGGAAGGATAGATTTATTTAATGGAGCATTTTAATCATATGAAGTGAAGGCATCACTCCAGATTATAGCATGAAAGATTGCGTAGGAAATGTTCATTTGATATATACAGTGGACCCTTGGTATCCATTGGGCTCCAGGAACTCCAGTGGCTACCAAAATCAATGGATGCTCAAGTTCTGTTATATATAATGACATTCATAAAATATTTTAAAACATGAGTGCTAGAGAGAGACTGACAATCTCTTAAATGGCAGGTAACTATAGCAGGGTACACTTTCACATCAGTACTTAGGCGATTCCTCGTAGTCCAAGGATGATGGTCCTCCAAGTGTAGTGTCCTAGTGGTGGGTTTGTAGGTGACTGTGGAGCCCTATTCTTGATCTGTATCTTCTCCCGCAGTAAGGGCATCGGTTTCCAGGTGGAAGGCAGTTCCGGTCGGGGTTGGCTTGACGCTCCTTCCTCTTGGCACGTTTCTCTCTTTCACCCTCCATTTGTGCCTCTTCAAATTCTACAGCACTGCTGTCACAGCTGACCTCCAACTCAAGGGCCAGGGCTTCCCAGTTCTCAGTGTGTATGCCAGAGTTTTTAAGGTTGGCTTTGAGCCCATCTTTAAATCTCTATTCCTGTCCTCCAAAATTCCATTTTCTGTTCTTGAGTTCGGAATAGAGCAACTGCTTTGGGAGATGATGGTTGGGCATCCGGACAACGTGGCTGGTCCAGCAGAGTTGATGGCGGAGGACCATTGCTTCAATGCTGGTGGTCTTTGCTTCTTCCAGCATGCTGACATTTGTCCGCTTGTCTTCCCAAGAGATTTACTGATTTCCACATCAGTATACTGCTTGGCACATGAGGAAATCAGGATTTGAATGTTTTCTAGCTTTTGTTATTTGAATCCTTAGATGGAGATCCTATCACAAATATAAGTCAGAAATCATTTGGGAGATATATCTGTTAATATAGGTATAGTAAAGATAAAGATTAAGGTTTCCTTTGACATTAAGTCTAGTCGTGTCTGATTCTGGGGGATCATGCTCATCTCCATTTGTAAGCCAAAGAGCTGGCATTGCCCATAGACACCTTCAAGGTCATGTGGCCAGCATGACTGCATGCAGCACTGTTACCTTCACATGTTTTCAAACTGCTAGGTTGGCAGAAACTGGGGCTAACAATAGGAGCTCACCCCGCTCCCCAGATTCGAACTGCTGTCCTTTCAGTCAGCAAGTTCAGCAGCTCAACAGTTTAACCCACTTCACAACTGGTGGCTCCAACATAGGGATGCAAATGGTAAAAATATATAGCAAAAACCTCAGTGAAAACAGTATTTAACCCTTTCAGAATCCACATATCCACATAGGAATTACCAAAATAAATCTAAAAAAATGCTATGAACATTTGTACTAATGTTGTATTTATTTGCATCAGATAGTTAAAATATTTTTGTAAAATGCTAGTGCACGTGCTTGAAATATAAATGGTCCCAGGATCAATCCATAAGATGTATGAAGACAGTGGCTTTTTCACACTGCACACATATAGCACAATGATTCGACTTTAACAGACAGGGTTCTAAAACATTGAATTTTCAGTTTAGAGATTATATTTAGAATTCTCAAGACAGAAACCCTATCATTCACTGGATGGACCCATGGCAGTTTAAGGGAAATAATAGCATTGGGATTGTGGAGTGTGAGAGGAGCCTGTGATTTGGCCAAAGAATGCCGGATTAATGTCTTGGCTCAGTAGGAGCTTGAGTCTGCCTTTCTTATGCATACAATTACATCTGTAGCAGGACCTAGCGCTTATACAACAGGCATGGGTAATCTTTGGCCCTCCAGGCATTTTGGAGTTCAATTCCCACAATTCCTAACAGCCAGTCCAAAACTCCTGGAGGGCCAAAGTTTACCCATGCCTATTATACAAGCATTTCAGATGTCAGGTGCTGGGGGAGAGGCAACCATAGCAATCTCTTGTCTGTCCCTCCTAAGCCATTTAGCCATTCTCTTCTAGTGAATCATAGAGTTATGTCCTTTTATTTTAATCAAGCCTGTTACCATATTCAATTTGCACTTCAGTCAGCTTCTAAACAGAGAAAAGTGTGTTGTTTTGTTCTTCATTACAGGCAGCAAAATGCATTGGGCTGACTCTAGCCTGCAATCATTGCCTGAGACACGCACTGGATGAGAAATGCATGCTAATACTGTGGTGATAGGTTGCTGTGAGTTTTCCGGGCTGTATGGCCATGTTCCAGAAGCATTCTCTCCTGACATTTCACCCACATCTATGGCAGGCATCCTCAGAGGTTAACGGTTTTGTTGGAAACTAGGAAAAGGGGGTTTATATGTCTGTGGAATGTCCAGGGTGGGAGAAAGAACTCTTGTCTGTTTGAGGGAAGTGTGAATATTGCAATTGACCTCCCTGATTAACATTGAATGGACTTGTAGCTTCAAAGCCTGGCTGCTTCCTGCCTGGGGGAATCCTTTGTTGAGAGGTGTTAGCTGGCTCTGATGGTTTCCTGTCTGGAATTCCCACCATGGACATTCCATAGATAGATAAACCTCACTTGCCTAGTTTCCAAGACATCTCACAACCTCTGAGGATATTTGCCATAGATGTGGGCAAAATGTCAGGAGAGAATGTTTCTCTCCAGAAAACTCACAGCAACCCAGTGATTTCAGCCATGAAAACCTTCGACAACACATTGTGATGATAATTATGGCTATAGCATCAATTTGAACCACCAAGCTCCCCATTATATTTGTTCATTGTTATTTGCTACCAAGTGGTGTTCAAATTATGATGACCCTATGAATGAAGAGCTCCAAGATCCCCAGTCATCAACTGCCCTGGTTGGGTTTTACAGATCCGGGTCTTTGCCTCCCTTGGCAGACTCAATCCACCAGCAATGGGTGCCTCCCTCTTTTCCTACCACTTTCCAATTTACCAGGCATTTTTCCCCCAATAAGTCATGTCATCTCATGATATGTCCAAAGACAACAGCCCCACTTTAACCATTTTTGCTTCTACGGAAAATTCTTAGATTTACTCTAGGACCTATTCTGTCTTTTTAGCAGTATCTATAGAATTCTTCCCCAGCATATTTCAAATGAGTTGATTTTATGCTAATACATTTTATTAAAGTGAGTGAATATGTGCCAACAGAGCAGACTGCATTATTTGGTGGAGTGGGTCCTTCATTTTGTCATGAAATCATGTTTTTTAAAAAATTGGCTTTCTGAATTCTTTACCATGTTAAGCTGGCTCCCTGCTGTTTAATGGCTTGAAGTAAAACACATTCTGAGGTCTTGCTATTCCTATGTTATCAAAGCTGCTTTCACACAATAACTGTACTCTCCTCCTCTCTCCCTCCTTTCCCTTCTTTTTTTTTAGGGATTTGAAGCCAGAAAATATCCTGTTAGATGATTATGGTAAGTCTTTAGTGCTTTAGGCAAGACTTCGTCTTCCACAGAATAGTAGCTTACGTTTAGTTGTGCTGCATATAGTATTGTGCAAGGTGCAATAGTTGTCTGCAGTGGGTGAGAGGCTCAGCAGTAACTAATGCTCATCTTGGGAAAAAGAAAATGATAGAACTTTAGCCAATGTGTACAAGAGAGAAAAGCAGAAAAAGCACTATTATGAAAAGCAGTGTGTGTTAGGTTAATGATAACATAGCAGACTATGAAATTGTGTTTTCACTCCATTGCTCTGGGAAACTTCCAGAATAAATAAATATGGCACCCAGATTTGAATGGCTCGTATTTCTTTCCAAATGTATTAGATTCCCATTTTCAGAGTAATTTCTATGACAATGCATCACTTCACATTTTTGTATTTGCCGTCTAAACAAAGGAAAATAAAATGTTCTCTGCTTCAGGAAAAAATTGGCTTTTCTTAGATTGTGCCTCTCTGCTTTTTTGCCCCCCCCCCCCATAAATTCCAAACTGAAGCATATAAGATAATTTTGCTGCATTCTCCGTCACAAAATTGATGAAGAATAATGTGGCTTAATAATAATAATAATAATAATTATTATTATTATTATTATTRTTATTATTATTATTATTATTTGTACCCCGCCTCCATCTTCCACAAGGAGACTTGGGGCGGCTAACATGGGGCCAAGCCCAAACAATTACAATTAAAAAAGTAAAATACATGCAAGATGCACAACAACATCAAATAAAATGCATACACAATAACATAATAAAACAATAAGATAAAGGTGAGCTAGTCCAAAGCGAGGAGTGAAAATTTCTTTTGAAAACCATACAGCACAACAGTTGTCTGGGTTGAGTTTTGAGAAAGGGATACAGAGAGAGAGAGATATGTGCATAGATAGACAGACAGATCTAGATCGATCGATTGATCGATCGATAGATAGATAGGTACACACACGTGCACTCACATGCACGCACACACTTTTTTAATTTGAAAGAGTTCCTAGACTTCCCATTTTATGCCACAGCTTCAAATAGAGTAAATTATCACAACTTGGTTCAGTCTGATGATCTTTTGGCCAAAGATAGTCTCTCCTTTTTCAGAATAGACCTCAACTACAGCCCAACAATAGACTGTATTTTTGTATGCTGAATGCCCCAACCTTCATCACTGGCATCTCCAGTAAATTGGATTCAGTAATAGTACTATTCAGAGCTTATCAGCTCAGTTAGGAAGTCTCATATGATATGAAGCCAACATATTTGGTCACAGCTTCCTTATATTTATGTGAGGGATTCAAAACCCTGAGTGAATCTTAAGAAGGAGAGGGGTTTTTCTTTAAATGAGAGTTTGCCAACAGTTTGTCTTTCCTTTTTCTTTCATGTGGATTGCTGCTCCATTATAGAATGCAATATCATGATTTATCATAACTTCCAGAAGCATCCTGTTCCAGAAACATGCTATAAAGCTTTTTGTTGTTGTTTTAAAAATGTGTGTGTTGGGGGGGGGGGGGGAATCTTCAAGGTAAAATTTGTGACAATTTCCCAAATTTCAAGAATTTACCTCCCCTTTTATAAAGGATCAATTGTCTTGCAGTTTGGGGGAGATATTTGGTCCAGCCCTCTAACTGAAAACCATTTCCTATGTTCCTTTGATCAGTTTTCCATTTTGGATCTGGTACTATTTTGGTCCTAGAGGGAATAACTGTTCATTTAATACAGTGGTTCCCAACCTGTTTTTGACCAGGGACCACTCTCCAACATTAGTACCAAAAGGGTTATGAATCAGTTTTTGGTGAATTTTAGATTCAGCTTGGTTATTTGGGGTGCTGCTGATTCAGAAAATTGCATCGGATAGACCACATCAGTGCTAGTTTCTGATACAGAACATATGCCATCCAGTAGTCACCCACAGAAAACCATTTTTAATAAACCTCAGCACTAGAAGAGGTTTTCGCAAGACCAATCACTCTCGTTGCAATGGTGTAGTAACGGTGAGACTGCAAACCATATTTTAGCTCTTCTGGACGACTGGTGGTCTGTGGACCACAGATTGGGAACCACTGATTTGACAGAAAGAATGGTTGTTTTCTACAGTTTTGTGTTTGTGCTGGAACATTTGCTTTTTTTCTTCCTACTTTAGGCCACATCAGAATCTCTGATTTGGGGCTAGCTGTTAAAATCCCCGAGGGTGAATCAATCCGTGGACGGGTAGGAACAGTTGGTTATATGGGTATGTTATTTTGTGTCTTATGTTTCCTTGTTTCCAAATCTGAATGTTTCTTTTTAAAACTCAAAGCAATCTAAGCATAATAATTCATAACAAACCAAGCATAAAGAAGAACTGGTAAAGGATTATATGGGTCAGCTTCTGATAAGTGGAAACACAAGTTACAAGTGCCATGTATATTCTCCCTTCCCCCAAATGGTGCAGATTATCATATGTTTACTTAATGCAATCTGTTCCTTTTCCAAGATCCTGGGTTCCAGATTATCATATGTTTACTTAATGCAATCTGTTTGACTTCCAAGATCCTGGTTTCCCATCATTTGAGAGCAACTTCATTAGAATTGCAGTAGCGTGGAATAAGCATTCGCGAGGAATGTCATTAGTAGACATGGTGTTTGTGTGTGGTATTTGAGTGGATACTACAACAACGGGATTGTAGCTCAGCTTGTACTACAAATGTGAATATATGAGAATTCGTTCAGTATCAGAAACAGCATTCCATAGTTGATAAGGACAATTATTTTTACGCATCCTCAAACCGAACTCTTTCAGAAGGAACCAAGTATTAGAAGAAATAAGATATTTTGCTCATATCCTGGCTATGCTTCTTATTTGTGAGCATCACGAAGCTGTTATTGAACACAGTCTTCAAAGCCCTTCCAATAAAACAGGTGATAATTACCCAAAAGTAGGGATAAAGTTAGTTGGCTGCATGTGGTTCTTCAAGGTTATTTTTGTGGCTTCAAATTCCCACCTAGCTGCAAAAAAACATGCTGTTGAATTTTAGTAGCAAATGGGCAAACAAATTAAAACTGAAAGGCAACACTTGTTTTGCAGTTTGCCAACATACCACAAACCCCACTTTACAATTAACATTTGCCACCAAACTTCAGAAGTGTGGTTTCCTGTTGAATTGCACTGATGCAGTAATGGGTTGAGGATGGAAAAGACAGGTTCTCCTTAACACACCAAAGTTGTCTACCTCAAAATAATGGTGTGGGGAAAACTAATTCTCTATCATTTCAAGCCCTTAGTGGGGGGAAACTAATTTTCTATTGTGTTGCCAAAGTACACCTATGTGAAATTGTTACTAAATCAAATTTAATATACAATGTTGATGTTGGAAAGCTTGTTCAGTGTCCAGCTCCTTTTAATTTAAATGACATGATGTGAACTGGAATATTTTTCTTAAAGTCAGTTCAGTAATTAACTGATAGTATCATTACCTTAGGTTAACTCTCAAAATTTATAAAGAGTTTGAGAAAGAGGTCTTTTTTTGTGTGAGAGAAACTGCAAGTCGCTTCTGGTGTGAGAGAATTGGCCGTCTGCAAGGACGTTGCCCAGGGAATGTCTGAATGTTTGATGTTTTACCATCCTTGTGGGAGGCTTCTCTCATGTTCCCACATGGGGAGCTGGAGCTGACAGGGGGAGCTCAATCTGTTCTCCCCGGCCGACACAAGAGTTTAACCCATTGCACCAGCGGGGGCTCCAGAAAGAGGTCTGATCCCACTAGACTAATTTGTATAGAACTCGCAAAAGAGATCCAAAGAAATATCTGTCTTTCTGTTTTTCTGCATATTCTATAATTTTAGCAGAATTTTGTATATATTTCTGTGTAAGATCATTCAGCCAATATTTTCTGAGAGGGCAAAAGTTCAATATATGAGGTGAATTGAATCACTCCACCTGACTGATATCTTCATATGGTTCTAAGTTTGGTTCACCACATGGTGGTGCAATTTGTTCCATGCTTATAAAAACATCTGGAAATAAGAATATGGAGTAACATGCAGAAAATTATTCCCAACTGCCTGATGAGTCACTCCACATAAACGCCTTACGTCTTGATTACAACTGTATGTGAAATGAGCTAAAAGGACTCTCCTAGTAGTAGCTGTAACATACATTCGTAACCAAAGTCTAGATGGAATCATTTATTTAATTCTTAGAACTTGAGCCAAAACTTGAAAAGGTATTATAAAAAACTTCTAGAATCTCTCAATCACCATATCCTGATGATGTGCAGTAATCATGCTAGCTGGAGCGATTTCAGGAGTTGTATTCAAAAAAGTAACTTTCCACAGATTCTGTATCTGGCTGACAAATGTTAATTCACCATCAGTATGATAATATCAACATATAAACTGCTGTTTTTTATGGAATGTGTCTTTCTGTCTTCTCCAGCTCCTGAAGTCCTAAATAACCAACGATATACACTTAGCCCCGACTATTGGGGTTTAGGTTGCCTGATCTATGAAATGATTGCAGGACAATCGCCTTTTCGTGGAAGGAAAGAGAAGGTGAAGCGAGAAGAGGTCGACAGGAGAGTCTTGGAGACAGAAGAGGTGTATTCCCATAAATTCTCCGAGGAAGCAAAGTCTATCTGTAAAATGGTAAGGAGCAACTCCATTTTGAGACTCGGGGCTCAAAAAATAATCATCAGAATTTATTGTGGAGGTATCGTTTAGCAGAGGAGGTTAATCCAAAGGGGTTCTTTAATCCCACAATACAACGTAAAATAGCTAATCAAATTGTGGTGTTCAGAAACTCCTGATTTAGTTCCATGGCTGGATGAGAACAGAGACCACAGCATAATGCCCCAGTGGCATCACCAGTGAGTTGATTCTTATGCCTGGTACTCATGGCCATTTCTGAAGTGATGGTAGCCAAGGAAATGCCAAGAAAAACCAAGGTCTAAACCAGGCATGGCAAAATTCGGTCCTCCAGGTGTTTTGGACTTCAGCTCCCACAACTCCTAACAGCCAGTAAGCTGGCTGGGATTTCTAGGAGTTGAAGTCCAAAACAACTGTAGGACTGAAGTTTATCCCTAGTAGAGTATGCTAAAGAGCCTAAAAACCCTAAAGGATCCAGATCCTGTCTGATCTCGGAAGCTAAGCGGGGACCTTTGTGTGCTCTAGTTTGTACTTGAACTGAGATCATCAATGAATAACAGGTACTCTAGGTTATATTTCAGAGAAAGGAACTAACAAAACTATCCTTTAATATTTATTGTGTAAGAAACCCCTCTGAAATTCACCATTAGTCAACAGGTGGCTCAAAGGCACATACATACTAATAGAGAGAAGAGCCATTTAATAGGACTCCACCTACGTGTTGGCTCATCCTCCAACAATTAACTCTGTGGGTCTGCTCTAGTTGGGATTAACCAAAGAAGATTTCATCCTAAACCTTTCCACCCTTTTGGTCAGCAACTCCAAAATGATCTTCACCTGTGGCTGTGAAGGCCATGGTGTTATTACTAACACATGAAGGAGATTTGTTCAGTTTTACCATGTGTGGTTCTCTTGTTCCGACACGGTGGACTGAATACATTCACAGCTGGATTTTCACACATTTTGTAAACTGGTGGACCAGGACCAGCAAAAAATAGACCCTACTGTAATGGCAAAACGCAAGTCTGCTAAAATCTCTCCGGTCTATTTCTTACCTTCAGTAAACCATGCTTGTGGGCACGGTGTCATCAGCACTGCCTTTCTGTTTATATTCTTCCCACTTTGGAAACAGTTTAGCTGGAGAATTTTCCAGAACCATTAGACAAATCGTTTCGAGAATTTCAACAAGCAAGAACTGCCCTGGTATATTGAAACTGAAAAATGTACGGAGACAAAGAAACAATCAGACAGAACAGTTAGAGTAACCCAGGTGCACCATATTTTATGTTGCCTGTGTAACCAGGGCCTAATTGCATCTAACTGATTTTAAAGTAATGCATTAATTTGCCAACCTATATAAAGATTTCATATTTACGCTCACTGACTACGCTGTATATTAGCTTTTCTACTGCTGCCCTCTAATGGACACGAAGAAACCGCTGTATTGCAGCCTTTCTAAATATTATTATTATTGTTTTGGGCTGAGTTTTTATTCTGTTTTCCTCTTAAGTATGTTTTTACTTTAACAATGCAGTCCAAACATGTGTCTGCTCAGAAGTAAATCTACTTTTTGGTGACAGAAACATGTTTAAGTCAAACCAGTGGATTCAAATTTAAAGAAATCTACTTTTTGGTGACATAAACAGTTTTAAGTCTAACCAGTGGATTCAAATTTAAAGAAAGGGGATTCTTGTTCATCATTAGGAAGAACTTGGTGATGGTAAGAACTTTCTGTTAGTTTAATATATTCCATCAGAAAATGATGATGATGATGATGATGATGATGATGATACTTTATTTCTATACCACTCTCTCTCCCCAAGGAGACTCAGGGCAGTTTAAGAAGGCAGACATACAATGCCTAAGTGAGTACAAAACATATAAAAAACATATCAAAATACAAGTTAGAGCACAATAAGAACAGTGAGTTTACCATCAAAGATTAAGCACTGAGATAAAAATATAACAGAATAGTCAGTAAGACATAATTAACTAGAACATAAATAAACATTACAACAAATACCCTCAAAACAGTTTAAAATACAGTTACAATTAAAAATAGCTGGCGCCCGTGTTCCTTTAAGATGTATTGTGACAGCCATATAGTACACGTGGAATTGGCCAGAATTCCAAATGGGTAACATGTTTTAGTTCTCTTCTCTCCGTACACTAAAGTGCATAAGTACATTTTTAGAAGTATCTTAAAGGAGAGGAGGGTAGGAGCCATTTTTACTTCTTTAGGAAGGGAGTTTCAGAGATGGGGAACGATCACGGAGAAGAACCCTCTCTCGTTCCCACCAACCAAGCTTGTGACAAGGTTGAGACCAAGAGGAGGGCCTCCTTCGTTGACAATAGTGCCCGGGATTGTCTGTATGGGAAGATGCGATTAGACAAATAGCCTGGACCTGAACCGATCTCCAGTTGTCTGCAAATTGTATTGGATTGGCATTATGAGATATGTCTCCTAACTCAAAAAGACATTTGGAGAGTTGTTGTTGTTGTTGTTGTTTGTTTGTTTTTTTACTTACGTAGCCATTCCAGTAGGGAAGTGTTTTGCACCATCTCCTTTATTGTCACTTTGTTCACATTAAAAAAGCATCAATTTTGAAGCATGGAAACTCTCCACATGATCTGATCCCAGGGATCTGGTTCACAGAAAGATCCTTCTTGGACTTAGCAAGTTCTCCTTTTCAGACTCATCACTTTCATATTAGTGAAGCAGCAACAAACTTAGCATGACTAGCGCACTCCCCTGCTTGTGTGCTCACTTGAATCTCCAAGAAGACCTGAATAAGGCTTAAGAACCGGGTGTCTTGTTTGAGACCCCTGCCTTGAGGTGCTGAAGTAATGATTGATTACACCAACTTCAGCAATTTGGAAATTCAGTGCTTCTCAGCAGTGCTCTCACATACAATGTGCTACTAGTACACATATGGACATTAATGAATAAGCTGTTCTATATAGAAGAGTCTGCAATAGGGAAAAATGAGAACATTTCGACAGGCGCCCTTAGAAACACATCAGGCACCCTCTCTGAATTGGCCCTTTTCCTTATAAGGGGAAAATTTCCAAGCTCACAAAAACTGAGGATAGAAGGAGAAACAATAAGCTCATGTTTTGAATAAGTTAACCCATTCAAATTCATGTTCCTCTGCCCTGCTCCAGATTCTTCTGTTTCTTTTGCCTGCCTCCCTTTTCTACTTAACTCTAGCTTGGTTGATTTTGCATTTAGCTTTTTTCTGACTAAGCCTCCTCTAAGTATTCATTACCTTAAAAAACCCCATGAAAATCATGTGTTCACCATAGGTCAACCAATGTACACACAACAACAGAAAATCTGAGTAAAATCTAAACAGCTTTTGGGTTGTCCCTTAGTTTGCAGCAGAGAATTAGATTTTTTTTCATGAGGACAAGCAGGAGGCAAGTTCGTGCATAAATTATTCTAGCAGCTATAACTAAATAATTAAAAAGTATGTCTTTATATTGTATCTGTTATACCCAATAAGAAGTATTCTGGTTTCATTTGTATTTTAATCTTAAGTATTTTCTGGATTCTTTCTTGCATTTCCATCCAGTAGTTTCTTGCTACCTTGCAGGTCCATCACAAATGATAAAACGTGCCTACATGGGTTTCGCATTTCCATCATTTATCCTGTATATTTTTATAACACTTTGCCAACTTTTAAAGAGTTATGTATCGTTGGTACATCATTTTGTACCAGTTCTCCTTTAAATCATAATCATATGTATACTTCAATTTGTAATTCCATATTCTTTCCCAATCTTCTAATTTAATTGCATGCCCAATGTTTTTGATGTTTTCCATCCTAGTGGGAGGCTTCTCTCATGTCCCCGCATGAGGAGCTGGAGCTGACAGAGGGAGCTCAATCCGCTCTTCACAGATTCAAACCACTGACCCGGTTTAACCTATTGAGCCACCAGGGGCTCCAGTTAGCATTGTGCTAACTTGAGAAATTCTGGAACTTGTAGTCCAAAATATTCACTTTTCCAAACTGGATAGAATGATTGAAGGGTCATACAATTGACCCAAGGCTGTCTGAAGTTCCTGTCTTACTTTCCACTTCAGAAAAAAGAAAGTTTCGTGTGGAATCAAAATCAATTGAGCCAGAGCATGGCAGCATGTCTGTGAGTGGGCGGGAAGATGAGCATTTTGAGAGAGATAAGGAATTTAGCAATAATATATAGGGGAAGAATATACTTGACAATGAGAAAGATTATTGTGTGTTTGCACTGTGTTTTGTGGATTTCTTCTGTCTGACTTGTGGTTGTTTACATATTTTGAGTAATTTAATTGGTAAACTATATTAATTTTAGGTATCATTTGAAAAATGATTGCCCCATCTTTCTCTGAAATAGCTGGACCTGCCAGAGCAACACCTTTGGATCAAAGGGAATGGCTTTGTGTCTTGGCATTCAGTCCACACCTCTGCTTTCAACTTCTGTTCGTGGGCACAATGTTATTTAGCCTCATTCCTTTCCTTTTCAAAAAACGTTGTTTTGCATTGAGACAGAGACTGGATCTACACTGCCCTATATCCCAGGATCTGATCCCAGATTATCTGCTTTGAACTTGATTATATGAGTTTATGGAGCCAGATAATCTGAGGGCTATTCCACACAGCCATATAACCCAGAATGTCAAGACAGAAAATCCCACAATATCTGGTTTGAACTGGATTATTTGAGTCCACGCTGCCATATAGTCCAGTTCAAAGCAGATAATGTGGGATATATTCAGCTGTGTGGAAGGGCCCTGAGATAAACAGATAATCTGAGATCAAATCCTTGAATATCGAGGGCAGTGTCGTTCCAGCCATAGAGACTGAACACCAACATTATAGGGTAAATGTGGATGATCACAACTTTGGTAATGGTTATAGTATGTATTAAAATATTTCTCCATCAACTGATGGAAGGAATGAAATGATGTGCCAAGTAACTAAGATCAGTGTGTATCCAAACAATTATCCAAGGTTTACCCATCTAAGTGGCAATCAGAGCAATCCAACCACATGTGCCAAAATTGAAGATGCCCAAACCCACAGTTTCACCACTATTGATCAACTGTCCCAACCCTCAGGGCTTCCCCTTTCCATATCTGTATAGTGCTCAGTGTTCTCACCATTTCCCTTCATAACCACAAGTTGTGACAAAGCTCTAAACAACTTCATATTGTGTGGGAGACCAGAGTCCAAGTCCAGTGTGGCTAAAACCCAAGATACCCTACATAAGGTGGTTGAAACACCAGGGAAAGTGAAAAGAACACAGAAGTATTCCTTTTCATCTCCCAATAGCAACCAGACAAAGCTTGGGAGAATTATAGTGGATGTATGGAACCACACAGGGAACCTGTGACATTTACCTACTAATCCAAAAAAAAAATTCTGTCCATGAGTTGTTGTGCACCTTTAAGTTGTTTTTGACTTATGGTGACCCTAAGTGAAACCTATCACAGTGTGTTTTTTGTAGTGTTTTTTGCACTACAAATAAGATACGTGTAGTGTGCATAGGAATTCATCCACGTTTTTTCAAATTATAATCCGGCCCGCCAACAGTTTGAAGAACTGTGACCTGGCCCTCTGTTTAAAAAGTTTGTGGACTCCTGCTCTAGACTCTGCCTTGGACTCTGACTTAGCATGTATTGGAAGATATCTACTTTCATTCTGATTAGTATAATTTGGGTTTGTGAATAAATTTATAATTTGCCATTCACATTTGCAGAGATTAGAGGCACAGGACCTCCATAAAAGTGAAAAACCATAAATAAATTGCTAATTTTTTACCTGAGAAAATACCTCTCTAGGAATTTCTAGGTCTTTCTAGCATGTTGGAATGGTTGACTTTCAGTGAAAGCTGACCGTAGACTTGCACTGGAGGACTTAGAAATTCCTACATATAACATTTTAATCAAATCTGTGCAAAAGTCAAAATTGCAAATATAGAGAGATGATATAAAATTCTAGGGTTTTCTGAATTTCTGAGTTTTATGGGTGTCTGTCTCTGAACATATACAATACCAAGAAAACACTTTCTTTAAATTCTCTTTGGTTTTTCCTCTCTCAGCTACTGACCAAAGATGTGAAACAGAGGCTGGGTTGCCATGAAGAAGGAGCAGCTGAAGTAAAGAAGCATCCATTTTTCAAGAATATGAATTTTAAGCGCTTAGAAGCTGGAATGCTGGACCCACCTTTTGTCCCTGATGTAAGTAGGACATGAAAGAATATCACAGAACTTAAGTGGAACTTGAAAGCAAACTGCTTGAGATTGTTCTTGCACCCGAATGTCTGTTCCTGTTTTCTGCTTCTGTTGAGGTCTATTTTCCTTTAGAACCAATAGGTTTAAGTAGACATATGTTGATTTATGATGCCAGGATCCAGTGCCTCTTTGTTCAGTCTCAGATGGATGTTAATTTAAGATATGACAAAGTTACCCTGGGGCGAGAAAAGGTTTTCACAGGGATTGAAACTTCTCTAACAAATCATACAATCTCTAGCATTCTTTCGTGGAAACCAAGTCAATTAAGAGACTAGGACGTGGAACAATGGCATCAAACTACAGGAAAGGAGATTCCACCAGAACATTAGGAAGAACTTCCTGACAGTGAGAGCTGTTCAGCAGTGGAACTCTCTGCCCCAGAGTGTGATGGAGGCTCCTTCTTTGGAGGCTTTTAAGCAGAGGCTAGATGGCCATCTGTCAAGGGTGCTTTGAATGTGATTTTCCTGTTTCTTGGCAGGGAGTTGGACTGGATGGCCCATGAGGTCTCTTCCAACTCTATGATTCTATGTTTCTATAAGTTGCTATAAGGATAAAATAAGATGATAGTTTAGATTACTGGAGAAATTTGTTCTTGGAGGTACAATACATTGCATTTTAGGTTTTGTTCGCATTGTTTTACCTCATCAGAACTGCAGAGGCCTATTTCATGCTACGCAATGGTGAAAATAAGCATCCTCTGTAATGTTGGGATTGGCAGGGAAGGATAGTTTAAATTCTTTAAGAAATGATACATACCAAGGGACAACTGTAATGCACACACACGCTCTCAATCTCATGTGTAAGCTGCTGAAGCTGCCATTTTCTATCATAGAAGCACTTTAGTTGTAACACAGAGTATTATTTCTCTGTTTTAGAAAAGTGTTTGGGCCGTTACAGATTGATATAATATAATAATAATAATAACAATAATAATAATAATAATAATAAAAACATTATTTATATCCTGCCCTATCTCCCCGGTGGAGCAGTGGGTTAAACTGCTGAGCTGCTGAACTTGCTGACCGACAGGTTGGTGGTTCGAATCTGGGGAGCAGGGTGAGCTCCCACTATTAGCTCCAGCTTCTGCCAACCTAAGCGTTCGAAACATGAAAAAGTGAGTAGGTTAATAAGTACTGCTCTGGCAGGAAAGTAATGGCACTCCATGCAGTCATGCCGGCCACATGACCTTGGAGTCGTCTATGGACAACACCGGCTCTTCAGCTTAGAAATGGAGATGAGCGCAACCCCCAGAGTTGGACATGACTAGACTTAATGTCAGGAGAAACCTTTATCTATCTCCCTTTGGGGACTCAAAACGGTTCACAACCACTAATGGCAACCATTCGATGCCGTAAGTGCAACCAAAGATCAATGACATGAGTCAAATAAAAAAATTGATGATAGTGTTTCTAACAATGCTTGAAATTGCTGTTTTGAATAACCATGGGGTGGATGTGTTTTGATCTGATGTTTAATTTCACTTGAATAGTCCTAATACCGAAGACTGGAATCCTGTTGGGGCCCTGTATTGGTATCAAAAAAGTTGCGCAAGTGGTAGTATTTCTGAAAGTTAGCATATGCATGATCCTTAGTGCCATTAGTCATGTCACAAGGGCACAACTCTTGTCTCCTGTTTTTGATCCAGTGGATTGGAAGACAATTCACTGTTGCACAGCACAGCTAATTCGGGGCCGTGATGTATTTCGCACAACTCTGAAATTGCAGCGTAACTTCTTTGGCTCATAATAATGAATGCATAGGTTCTTGACCACACTCTTTTAGGTCTTTGAAGCCAACCAATTTGTAATGTTTCCACTCATTTCAATGAGACCTATTTAAAGTTTCTTGCTTCATTGTTTCCTTATTGTCCCATCTACCAGCCATCTCTCTGAATCATGAATTGAATGACATCTAGCATTTATCTATGGCTGGCTTACTATTCAGTTTTTACAACCTCATAAAGCAGATTATGAAGCCCTGAACTTGCTGACTGAAAGGTCAGTAGTTTGAATGTGGGAAGCAGGGTGAGCTTCCGCTGTTAGCCCCAGCTTCTTCCAACCTAGCAGTTTGAAAACATGCAAATGTGAGTAGATCAATAGGCAGAAAGGTAACGGCACTCCATGCAGTCATGTCAGCCACATGACCTTGGAGGCGACAATGGACAATGCCAGCTCTTCGAGTTAGAAATAGAGATGAGCACCACCACCCCGACCTGACTAGCCTTAATGCCAAGGGGAAACCTTTACCTTTACTGAAGCAGCTTAACAGTCTTTCAACTTTCAATGAAAGGATGTGATCCCTAAAAGTTGTCTCTCCAGCCAGGTAGTATTCCAGTTGAATAATTTCTGAAGCACTGGCAGTCGGAGCACTAAGGAAGGACAACGGGGGCAGATTCCATCCATAAGCTTTAGTGTGAGTCAGCGTAGCCAGTGGGGAACTGGTGAGGTTAGCACAGGTTGCACAGATCTAATGGAGAAATGCTGCCTAAATCTCTGTGCAGCCACTTTATGTCACAAGGCATTTGTTCCAACTCGTTGAATGGGGCAACATTCAGAAATAAATAAATATTTAATACCCAAGAAGTCCTACTGCTGACCTGCTGCTACTTCAATAAAGGAACCCAAAAAGAAGGCTATGGTATGATTTTGCTGCAATACAACTTTAAGACAGTTCCTTTCCGCCTTCCTGCAGATGGTAACAAAGCAAAGCTATAATAACAGCATTATCAACCATTGCAGTGGAATAGACACTGTGGTTAACTTGTATGTAAGCTTTACATACAATTGCCACACACTTTTTGTGTGTTTGTGTTAGAGAGGGAGACAGTATTCCTGCTAACTGAGCATTATATTTCATGCAATTGATTCCTAGTCTATAACAGTTAATTCACTGTAAATCTGCTATGCAGTATCTTTGGACCAAAAGACTATTTACTCTTCTTATGATAATAGACTAACTTTACAAAGATGCTTTACGGCACTCACTTCCTCTTTTGGAAAAAAAGGACTGTATAGACCAAGGGTCTAAGGCAGCGTTTCTCAACCTCGGGGTTGGGACCCTTGGTGGTGTCGAGGAGTCGCCAAAGACCATCAGAAAATGCAGTATTTTCTGTTATTCATGGGGGTTTTGTGTGGGAAATTTGGCCCAGTTCTATCCTTGGTAGGGTCCAGAATGCTCTTTGATTGTAGGTGAACTATAAATCCCAGCAACTATAACTCCCAAATGTCAAGTTTATTTTTCCTCAAACTCCACCAATGTTCATGTTTGGATATATTGAGTATTTGTGCCAAGTTTGCTGCAGATCCATTACTGTTTGAGTCCATAGTGCTCTCTGGATACAGGTGAACTACAACTCTAAAACTTAAGGTTAATGTCCATCAAACCCTTCCAGTATTTTCTGTTGGTCATGAGAGTTCTTTGTGCCAAGTTTGGTTCAATTCCGTCATTGGTGGAGTTCAGAAGGCTCTTTGATTGTAGATGAACTATAAATCCCAGCAACTACAACTCCCAAATGACAAAATCAATCCCCCCAGCCCAACCAGTATTCAAAATTGGGCGATCCAGTGAATGAAAATACATCCTGCATATCAGATATTTACATTACGATTCCTAACAATAGCAAAATTACATTTATGAAGTAGCAACGCAAATACTTTTATGATTGGGGATCACCACAACATGAGGAACTGTATTAAAGGGTCGTAGCATTAGGAAGGTTGGTCTAAGGGAATAGTAGGAATTAGAGTACCTCAAGATACTATGTTGTTTTTGCTGCTACCCGACAAATTTAATATGCTGTAGGCTTCAAGCTGTTCAAAGTGGTCACAAGTCTATTACACACTGGATCTCAAGTAGAAAATGCAGACCACTCAAGAGCCCACTGTGAACATTTTGCACAGCACTTTGCAGATAAAGTAGCTCAGATCAGCTCCAACCTGAATTGTGTTGTTGAAACATTTCTAGTGGATGGAACCTTGAGTCCTAATTGTCCAGTATGTGTTTGATTCTTGCCTTTCCTGCTTTATCAAACAGGCAGAAAAAGAATAACTGAGTGGATAAAAGGGGTAGTTATTACCTCCTTACAACAAGGCAGCAATCCAACTTGTCTAAAGGAGATAATTGTGAGGCCGCTGTTGAAGAAGCCATCCCTGGATTCTTCAGTAATGGATAACACCTTGTAACACATTTTTTGTTTCTGGGTTATAAATGTCATTTCCTAATTGATTCTATCATAAAAACATGGAAAATATTTATTAAACTGCAAAAAACTTTGTTTTTGCGGGGCATCCTGCAGCACATTTTGCTATAGTTTTTCAATGAAATAAATATCTCATAGAGCCTCAACCAATTTAACATAGTTTGTGGGAGCCACAAAAACAAAGTTTCTGAAAAATAACAACTACTTTCAAAGTAAGTACCGCACAATTAAGCAGGAAATAACACTTTCAAACCAGGAACAGAATTTGTTCAAATTTTGTTACATAGTGTAATTATCAGCCAATGTCCAGCCTACTATTATGGGGCAAGGTACTGAAAAATATGGTGGTCAACTCCAGGAGTTTCTAGATCAATTCAATCTGTTTCAAAGCCTGGTTATGGGACACGGACAGTTTAGGTGCCCTTGATACTGGGAACTGGATGTGGGAGTGGGTTCGTATTGGTTCTACTGGATCTTTAAGTTGCTTGAATACCATCCACTGTGGCATCCTTTTGAGATGGGACTTATGAAGTCCTGTACTATAGTGGTTCTGTTCCCAGAAGGTTGTGCTGGCAGACTTCAGTTTGACCCCCTGGCCATTGGGGTCCCTTGGTACTCTGCTTTGTCCCCATGCTATTTAACTGGAATGAAACCACTGGGTGGGTTCATTTGGAGTTTTAGGGTATCATACCAGAATCATGCAGGTGGCAGACATCTCTGTTGTTCCTATCACCCCAATATAAGGAGGCTGTCCTGGTCCTAGACCAGTCTCTGTCATCAATAATAAACTGGATGAGGGCAAAGATTGAAACTTTATCCTGATAAGACAGAGGTGCTTCTGGTCAATCAAAAGGCAGATCACAGAATAGCAATTTAGCCTGTGTTAAATGGGGTTACATTCACCATTGAAGACACTGGTTCAAAGTTTGGGTGTACTCCTGGACCCAGCTTTGAACCTGAAGGCCCAGGTTTCTGTAGTTGCCAGAAGTGCCTTTGCACATTGTTTCTTGAGATGCCAGACCTGTCCAGTCTGGTGTGTACAATAGTTACATCCTATTTGTACTACTGTAACACATTCTTCTTGGAACTGCCTTTGAAGAATATTTGGAAACTCTTAATCAGAGTAGGTTACAGCGATCATGCAAGAGCAACATTGGTTGCCTGTTTGTTACGAGGCACAATTTAAAATGCTGATTATGACCCATAAAACCCTATATGGCTCAGTTCCACGTTATTTGTCATGTTGTATCTCTTTCTATGAGCTGTCCTGAGATCAGAGATCATCAGAAGAGGCCTTTCTCTTGGTCTCACCACAATAACTATCACTGTTGGTGGAGATTGGCAAGAGGACCTTCTCTGTCTTTACCCCTGGATTCTGGGGCCAGAATGTCCCCTCCTTGTTGTCCTTCTGGAAGCAGGCTGAAATCTTTTTGTTAAGACAGGCTTCTAAAACAGAATGTACTTAAATAATGGGATGGGTGGTGCTGTCCTGTTTTTAACAAAACTGTTTTAGATGCTTTTATCTTTTTGTGATTTTTATTCTTTTGCAGAGCCCAACCAAAAAAAAATCTTGATGGCTTAGGTTTTAGGTCTGGGTTTATTTGGAGGTGCTGATTCACAAAATTGCATTGGATAGACCACATCCACTCTAGTTTCTTAGATATGGTTATTATGATTCTTTATAGTCGAACAGATGATGACTGATCTATACCATATGTTCTGCATCTCAAAACGTAGAGCTGATAGGGGGAAACTGGTGCCATTTGTGGCACTAGAAAGTCAGATATACCCAGAAACAGGTTTAACATTTGAGGCACCAAGTGTGTTTTGGCCAGTTTTATTGATGTGTTGAATTCTTTTAATTCTGTAAATAGTTTAATTCTATTTTACTGGATTTTTATTGTTCTTTTAAATTATGAGACATTTTGAATCCCAATTTTGAAAGAAAGGTGAGATATAAATAAATGTCGTCGTCATCATAATCCAAGATTGACAAATTGTTCATTTGCTTATACTGATTAAGATAGAAATATTTTTTTATAAACTGATGGTTACCACACCTGGGAGGAATAACAATGCATGACTGTTCTTATGGCACAGCCATAACCTTTCTTACTTGTCACTTCAATTATGTGTTCAGGTTCTCTTATATTCTTTCTTCTTTGTGCTGGGGCAGCCTAGAGCAGTGTACTGCAAAGATGTATTGGACATAGAACAATTTTCAACTGTCAAGGGAGTAAACCTGGACCAAACAGATGATGATTTCTATTCCAAGTTTTCTACAGGCTCCGTATCAATTCCCTGGCAAAATGAGGTAAATATACCTACATATATGTGTGTGTATGTATTCACTTTTCAGCATTTGGCTGAGATGCTGGGCCGTATATTCTGTTTGAACAAGCAATTGATCACCACTCAAGACAACCTTCTACACCTCTATATTCTTCAGCTATGTTAAAGCCGTATGACTCTTTCAAACTTTAATGAATAGCAAATTAGTATTTTAAGATTCTCTAACTGACCTTCTTTCCAAGACTTTTTGCACACTTTAGAGTTGTTGTTATCTGTCTTCAAGACATGTCTGACGTATTACAATACTATCCTAGTGTTTTCCTGACAAGATGCATTCAGTGTGATTTGCCATTGTCTTCTCTTATGAACTCATCACATGGAGGCCAAGAAGCATATTTTCCCACTTCTTGGCATTGCCGGCATGGAGTCTGATGACACAGAGCTCCTTCCAGTGGGACTCCACTTGGCTCTTTGCCAGCAGCATAAAGACCGGAGCCCTGAGGTATCAGGTGTATACCCAACTCCTCATAGAAGACGTCAGGGAGGATGTAGGAGGCAGCCAGGAACAGCAGAGAAATGTTGTGGGAAGGGATCTTATGGTCAATCACAGTAAAGAGACAAAAAGGTACACTGGCTCACTGTTTCCCCCACTAGACTTGGTTCAAAACTCGTTTTGGATGAAGGGGCTGCTGGTGGTTCGATTCTAAAGTCAATTCCAATTTTCACAGGAAAAATTTTTTTCAAAACTTTTCGAAACTTCCGAGACTTCCGAATCTTTTCAAAGTAAAGACCACCCAATGAAACAGGAAATAACACTTGTTTTACTCCAGAAAGGGGGGGAGCAAAGGGAGGAAATTCATCCACTGTGGTTTAAAATGCTTCCCAGGCTCGAAGCAGAAGCGAGGGGAGAGGAGAGGGAGGAAATTCATCCACTCTGTTTTAAAATGCTTCCCAGACTCGAGGCAGAAGTGAGGGGAGAGGGGAGGGAGGAAATTCATCCACAATGTTTTAAAATGCTTCCCAGGCTCGAGGCAGAAATGAGGGGAGAGGAGAGGGAGGAAATTCATCCACTCTGGTTTAAAACGCTTCCCAGGCTCGAGGCAGAAGTGAGGGGAGAGGAGAGGGAGGAAATTCATCCACAATGTTTTAAAATGCTTCCCAGGCTCGAGGCAGAAGCAAGGGGAGAGGAGAGGGAGGAAATTCATCCACTCTGGTTTAAACAGCTTCCCAGGCTTGAGCCGAGGCCAGGGACTAGAAGCGGGGAAATGCAGAATCATTTCCGACTCAGTTACTGCTGCGTAACAGAAATGGCGGAAAAAGCTTCAAAAGGGCAAAGGGACTTCCGGTTTCCTTAAAAACTTCAAAATTGCTTCAAAAAGCAAATCTTTTCGAATTTATTCCGAATTACAAAGATTCCGACTGAACCTAACCATGCCTATCCCACGCTGTCCCCCGGCTTCTCAGCCTCCATGTGACTGAGTTTCTCAAGCTCACCTATTAGGTTTCCATTGCTGAGTCCTAGTCCAAAACTGAAATCACAGTGGCTCTACCCTATATTTTACTTCTCTTTAATTAATAATTTAAATTTTAAAATTAAAATATATAAAATATTTGAATACTTAAAGTGTAGATTTTAAAGAGGTACGCTTTAAAAACCAGCAAGTTTGGGGTTGCCTCTTCACTTATATTTCTGCTACTCTCCATAGTATGGTTTCTTCCAACTTTGTTCCATAGCACAAGCTCGCAAGCACACATTCAGCATGTTTCATTTGAGAACAACACCCATGCACAAATATACCATGATTATTTTTTCTTAAATGGCAGTGAGGAGTAGAATGCCAAGTCAATGTGAAAGAAAGGGTGATGATTAGGAAGTAGGAGATAATTTTAGCTACTGAAGAATAGATCTAACATGGTAAATCTTTTGTCATTTGTAGCAGAGATAGGAGTTGGGTGTCCCTGCAGATATCATCCAGAATAGCTCTTCTTATAACCTTGTATTTAGTAATAAGATCCTCCTATTGGTTTGGTGCTTCATATTCAGGCGCCATATAATAGGCATTCACTTGAGTAGAAATTGCATTTTCTGCTTTTGCGTAGACATTTCCAAGCATGAAGCTTCTGAATTAAGTAAATTCATGTGTGTATTTCTCTTTTCTTTTCAGATGATAGAAACAGAGTGTTTTAAAGAACTAAATTTGTTTGGACCAAATGGTACTATTTCACCAGACCTTAACAAAAGCTACCCACCAGAACCACCGAAGAAAGGATTGTTACATAGAATATTTAAACGTCAGGTGAGAGACTCTATTGTTGTATGAGCAAAAGCTCTTCTAAATGCAAATAGGTTTCTCATACCGTACAATGTGAATATATTGTGGCCAAGGTGGTGTCTCCCATGGGCAGTTTAGGAGGAAATATATTATTAATAGAAGGACCTGAATTAAAATTAGAGATTTACATTTTGAAATCTCATCAATTTTTGACATCCTCTCATTATTGTATGTTATAAGCAGGACCGATATTCACAGTTTCATTTATCTATGTCCAATGAAATATTTATTCTCTCAGCATTTTCCTCCACTCTGCAGTATTCTTGGGCTAGAAATTCTTCATTTCAGTAGGGTGTATATGGGGGTTGTACAGTATAACTATTTGCAACTCAAAGTGAGTTCCTCTAGATAAATATATACTTACTTACTTAGGCAATCCCTTGTTGTCCAAGTAAGATAGTCCTCCAAGTGCGGTGTCCTGGCGGTGGGTACGTAGGTGACTGTGGCGCCCTATTATAGATAAATATATATATACTCTCTTGTCTGAAAATTATGCTGTAGTAAATTCTTGATTTTTTTTCAAGGCCATGTATATACACCATCATTCCCCAAAGTATGTATAGTAACCTCATTTTAAGCTCATATCTATATATTAAAACAATCTGTTGGCTTGCGGACAGACTTAAAGCCATGGTCGGGCATCATGTATCCAGGAAACGGATGCTTTAACACAGTGGTTCCCAACCTTTGGTTCTCCAGGTATTTGGACTTCAGCTCCCACAATTCCTAACAGCTGGTAAACTGACTGGGATTTCTGGGAGTTGAAGTTCAAAACACCTGGGGGACTAAAAGTTGGGAACCACTGTTTTAACAGATATGCTCCTTCATCAGGAATGATGTTATATAATGTGGTAAAACTTAAGCACTTCCCTCTCCATGGCCCCAAATTTTGCTTTGATGTTTCAGACCCCAATCTTGGTGTGAAGGATGGAATAGTAGTAGTCAGCAAAGTAGAAACTAGCAAAGACTTTGTCCTTCTCCTGATTTACTACATAAGGAACACCTTCTAGGGGAATCTTTCTGTGAGTTTAGCCAAGTCTGCTTGTTGACTACACGAGTAGCTGGCAGGCTAGGTTCATCAGGGAGAAGGGTCCCTCTTTTAGCAGCCTTCGCTTTGTTGTGATGCTTGTGTGGCCTCACAGGGAAACTGAATTACATAAAAGGTAACATTTTCGTTCTGGATCTGAAACATAATGTAGGACAGGGGAAAAAAAACATTCACTGAGATTTCTACCAGCAATAGTGTTGCCAGGTTTTCAAAACCAGCAATAAGAGATAGCTGAAATTCATGAAATGCGATGTCGAAAGCAGCTATTTACAAGTTTGTGTTCTATTTAGATTTACAAATGTTGTCTTTTCAAATGAATGGGGGGATTGTACCTATCAGAGAAGAACATGCCCTTAAAATTTAATGATAATTCCCCACTTTTTCCTGTCTGGACCCTGAGCCACAGTCGCCAGCTGAGTTAGTTAAGTCTTATGCTACTTCTAAAGGGTAGTCAGGCCTGGATTAGAGCAAGCCAATGATGAGGAGTTGCCAATAATACATCTCTTCACACTCTCACTTTCCCATGTGTCTATCTTCACAAATAGAGATGCTAGTAAAACAGCTGGAACTGAGCAGTCCTTGCTGCATGGAGCCACAAAGTTGGGAAATAAAGGATAAGGCACATCCATATGTGGCAGTGGTTTTCAACCTGTGGGTCCCCAGATGTTTTGGCCTACAACTCCCAGAAATCTCAGCCAGTTTACCAGCTGTTAGGATTTCTGGGAGTTGAAGGCCAAAACAACTGGGGACCCACAGGTTGAGAACCACTGATAAAAGTGGTCACTGGAAGGTGGGGCTAGAACACATGGTCCATATAGCTCTCACATATTCTTCCAAATGGCTGCAAGGAGCTGGAGTACACCAGGTCTTTGCTCAGTGTTCCCTCATCGTGGGTGTTACGTTCCAGGACCAAGTGAAAAATCTGTGAAGTAGGGACAAGGCATAGGACCGCTTCCTCCTAGAAGTTGTTCCGCCCACTCCTCTCTCCCCCTCTCTCACTCAATCCCTTCGCCTTCTCTTTCCTCTCTTCTTTTCCCCTCTTGCTCCCTCTTTTCCCCCTCCCCTTGCTGGAGCCACCCTTCTCCCCTTCTCTCTCCTTGCTTCCCCACCCTTCTCTCTCCTTGCTTCCCCACTGGCCTGGAGCTCTCACCCAGTTGCTCAAGGAAGAAGCCCTGGCAGAAGCTGCCTTGGCAGCCCTCTCCACGCCCCTCGCCGGCACCACTTCAGCTAGGCTCCGGGAAGGACGGGACTCTTCGCCAGCCTCCCTCGCAGCCCACCACCTCCACCAGCTAGGGCGACACTTCCAGCTTCCGGGAAGCACGTAAATGTCACTTCCCGTATGCCAAGGGGTTCCTGGCTTGCCCCCTCCCCTGATCCCAGAATTTGATTTATTGACCTCATAATGCATTATTATTTTAGGTGTCCATTTTCTGAGCCGATGAATGGGGACACTACAGAAGATACACAAAGTACTATGTTATTGTTGTTGAAACTTCATTGTCTCTTCTGTAGTGAATGGGGGGACTACAGAAGAGACAATGTTCCCTCACTACTTGTATATTTTAAATTTATATTTTTAATTCATATTTTTGGAAAACCACAAAACAGCAAATCCGTGAAAAGCGAACCGCAAAGTAGCGAGGAAACACTGTAGTTCTTAAAAAGCTTTGAAAGACAACCTTTGAAAGAGATGAGTAAAAGCTTATAATTTTCTCCTGCAAGTATGCTGTCAATTCAAAGACTGGAGAAGTTACTTTTTGCATTCCTTCTTGGGAGATTGTGGGAGTTGTAATAAGAAAAAAAATATCTTTTCTAAGCTTTAGATTGAATACATATTGTTCTTACAGTTCATATGATGGGGGAAATCTCATTCTTACCCCCACCTTTCCCCCTTTTTTATCTCCTTCAGCATCAGAACAATTCCAAGAGTTCTCCAAATGCAAAGGCCAATTTGAATCATCATATAAATGCCAACCATGTAAGTTCAAACTCTACTGGAAGCAGCTAGTTCTGCCTTGACTTTTGTGAACCTGCACTTGGCATCCCTCCACTATAACATACGGAGCTTCAAGGATGAGAGAACACCTGCCATCGAGCTAGAAGATCAATAATCTCCTATTTCGGGAGAGTTTTCCCCCTTCTCCATTCCTTCCAGGGGAGCTTCCCAATTTACCAAGAAATTTCCTCTCAGGTCTGTTTTTGGAGGTGGCACTTGAGGTCTCGTGACTCAACGTTGTCTCTGTAGGACATTGCAATAGAAATCAGAGTCTGACAACTTGCACGTATTTAAAATCGCATCATAACTAGAACTGAATTTTGTCCTTATTATTTTTAAAGAAAAGGTTTTGTAAATTTCTCTATTGTCTCAGTTTACATTTTGTACATTTGTATTTAAATGAAAGTCGGACTTGGGGATGTATATTTTCTGAGCAGCAGCTTGTAAAGCCATCTGTTTTAAGATTTTTTTTTGTTTTTAAAAAACAAACCAAGAAAAACACAAAGTGATCAAGACTTCCAGAGCCTCGAAATGAGATGTTTATTTTTATTTTTGTGTTGCCAATGTCGAAAATTAGTCACACGTTCCTTCTTTCATATCAGTTTTATTGATACAAATTTTTATTCTTTTTCCATTGATTGAGTTTACAGCAACACTGCAGATAAAAGTGTCTTCCCTCTTTTTTCTTAAAGCCTTTCATTTAATGCAAACTCAAACGTACAGTCAAGATTCACCATCTCTAAGGAAGGTAATACACTATACCTGAGGTACATGGGACCAGCATTGTTGCTATTTGCACTTTTTGTACTTAGGTTGCCCTGTTTATGTTTGTTGTTAAAAAGTCATCACCATTTAAAATCCCTCCTCTTCTTTTTCTACCCCTAAGACAATTTCCCAGACTTTCTGTTACTATTCCTAGAAAGAGATGAACAAATGCACATGATCACAAATACAGGTAGATACCTGGTCTCCAGGCGAGAAGTTCACCCTTTGCTGCTCCTCCCAAGAAGATACCAAAGGGTTGTCTTGATAGATTTGCCTCTTCAATATTGTTTTCACCAATAAGTGGGTTTGTACAAGTCTCTGGGGAGCGAGAGGTGTTGGGTATGTACTCATGTGCATTTGACTCCTAAGTTCCCATTGCACTGATTTACAAGTAATCCTGGTTCTCACCCTTGTACACTGCATCCCATGGGTATGAACATAATTAACATATGTATTTTCGAAGGCTTTCATGGCCAGAATCACTGAGTTGTTGTGAGTTGGGTTGTATGGCCATGTTCCAGATGCATTCTGATGTTTCGCCTGCATCTATGACAGGCATCCTCAACCTGTGTGAGACCTCACAAATTCTGAGGATGCCTGCCATAGATGTAGGTGAAACGACAGGAGAGAATGCTTCTGGAACATAGCCATACAGCCCGAAAAACTCACAACAACCCAATAATTAACATACCAAGAGCCAGTCCTCAGTATTTCTTCCTTTATAGACGCAACTCCTTGTGTTCTGGTTCTTTTCCGGCTCACAAACTCAAAAATTGGCAGAAATGGAGAGGATTAAAAACCATGTGGCTCCTTTCTTAATAGCTGCCTCTTTACATAACAGTAATTCTTTTATCTCTCATCGTCTTTCCCCTCAAAACAACAGAGACAAAATGTTGGTATATTTTGTACCCATGCCAAATAATTGGGTAGGGGGGGGTATGCATTATGGATTTTTGTGACTTTGGGTCACTTTACTTAGGTCTTTTGGGTTCATAATGTGTAAATTAATTATATAGATTCTTTTTTTTAACCCTGATTGGATGAGTTAACCTTTTTACATTAGGATATAATGAGGAATGAATAACAATACAGTTGCTTGTGTACAAATTTTCATGTATAATATTTTAAAGGGGTTTTTTTTTCAGAAGAGCATTAGAGAGAAATGCTCTTTTTTTACTGTGATCATATGGATAAAAAGTTCATTTGTGCAAACTTTGAAAGATCTTTCATCTCCATAAGCAGAGAGAAATTAAACATGAAAATAAACATGAGTTGTGGTAAATAATTTGTACCATATCTACTCTTCCACATTAAACTAATTGTTAAATGGCAAATGAAGGATTATGCCCCACTGATTCAGGGGAGCCTCCAATGGCACAATGGATTAAACTCTTGTGCCAGCAGGACTGCTGACCGGCAAGTCAGCAGTTCAAATCTGGGGAGAACGGGTTGAGCTCCCTCTGTCAGCTCCAGCTTTACAAGGATGGTAAAACATCAAAAACATCTGGGCGTCCCCTGGGCAACATCCTTGCAGACAGCCAATTTTCTCACACCAGAAGCGACTTGCAGTTTCTCAAGTCACTCCTGACACAAAAAGGGGGGGGGGGTATATCTTAGTGATACTGTTGGCCTGAGGATATTATGTTTTCTTATTTTAAAAGTTATTTTAGCCATAACAGCAGAGTTAGGATATACCTTTGTAACCAGAAGGAGGGTACAATCTTTCAGATATTCCATAAAATACATAATGTTCTGAACCTGCAACATATATGAATCCGCTTTTGTTAGGGCTTCTTCTTCTGTTATGCTTGAAAGATTAGCTGTGGATGTGTTTAAATGAAAATTTGTAAAATGTAGTAATTTGGGGGCCTAATATACTGCTCAATCTTACATGGTAACATATGAAAATCTGAGAGCAATTTAAATCTGAGAGAAATTTAAGACTTTTTAAAGATTTTAGAGTTTACACCAGTCATGGGCAAATTTCGTCCCCCCGGGTGTTTTGGATTTAGAGTTTACATCAGGGTTAAGCGGCTGAGGAGGGAAAGGAAGAGGCCTGAGGCTGTTAGGAATTGTGGGAGTTGAAGTCCAAAACACCCGGAGGGATGAAGTTTGCCCATGCCTGGTTTACACTATGATATATTTAAGAAGATGTAGGGCAGATATGAGAAATCTCTGTGTTGAATTCTTCCCCTTATATAGAGTAACATCTTTCATTTCCCAAATCTTTGTATTTCAAGGAAAGTCAAGTTGACATCCTCCAGAATGGTCAGGTGTCAGACACAAAATCTGGGGAGCACTGGCTTGGCTACCCTTGAAATACTGTATTTCTTTACAGTAGGAGCCAATGTTGTAATCAGGGTTAAAGAAACACATCGTCTAATGAAATCAGGAAATGAGATTACACAGGAAAGGGTGAGAATGCAACAGAGATAAGCCACTTACATTGGCAGCAATGTGTTATTCACAGTGGCTACTACAATTCTTCTCCAGAAACCGAATTAAGATGCATTTGATTCTTTGTCCATAATTTCACTTGCAATCAGAAACATACATGTTTCTTTTTGTCTTGGCAGATTTTGTATAAGTGTGCATGTTACACAGCTTTGGATATTTTAGAGCCTAAGCTAGTTGGTTTCTCTTCTTTTCTTCCTGAAAATTGCGTATTGCTATGCCAGCTTGGCTACTGACTTTGCTCTCTTATATGGCCCTGCACTGGAAAAAAATGAGTGTCAACATCACACTTCTCATATATATCCACCAAAGCATGTTTATCATATTTGCAAAAGATCTCCAATAATGACTTGTAAAAACTAAATGTTATTAATGTGTTGTCAAAAGCTTTCATGGCTGGAATCACTGGGTTGCTGTGAGTTTTCTGGGCTGTATGGCGATGTTCCAGAAGCATTCTCTCCTGACGTTTCACCTATATCTATGGCAGGCATCCTTAGATGTTGTTAGGTATATCCACAACATATTACACAGCATATAATTTGAGAACACAGAAATGCTGGACCACTCTAACAATCACCATGTCAAACTACACAGAGAAGCCACTGAAATCCACAAGAATGTGGAATTTCAACAGAAAGAAAAAAAACCATGAAAATGAACAAAATCTGGCTACCAGTATTTAAAAAACTCTAAAATCAGGATAGTAAATAAAGAAAAACACACTGAAAATGGGGGAAACCCAGACATGAAATAATCAGTTCCAGCTAACACCTCCCAACAAAGGATTTCCCCAGGCAGCAATCAGCCAGGCTTTGAAGCTACAAGGCCATTCAGTACTAATCAAGGGGGCCTCCAACTTGCCTCCAATAGACAAGAGTTCTTTCTCCCACCCTGGACCTTCCACAGATATATAACCCTCCCTTGCTTCGTTTCCAATATTCCTCACAACCTCTGAGGATGCCTGCCATAGATGCGGGTAAAACATCAGGAAAGAATGCTTCTGGAACATAGCCATATAGCCCAGAAAACTCACAGCAACCCACTAAATTTTATTTCTTTATCATCCCCAAATTCCTGTGATAGGACCAGATTGTATGCATTATGTGTTGTGTGGTTAATTATCAATGTAGGCACTTTTTCTGTTGCCAAAACAGAAAAAGAATCAATAACATAGATTTGCATAATATTTATTTTCAAATTTAAATGGAACACAATGCATATTTTTGGGCAGATCTGTGACTGGAGAACTGTGAGCCTACTCAGTCTAATGTGCAGGTCTTTTTCAGTTGATGGGCACAATATCTCTTCCTAAATTTATGTATCTTCAAACTGAACTTAAACTGGACAGCCTCTCACAAGAACACTTCCAGAGGACTGTCTTCTATAACAGGGCTAACGTATTGGTTGATACAGAGCACTGCATGTTGACTGGAAATAGTGAGCTGAGAAGTAGGAGAAGTTTAAGTTTGTGTGATACATCTGCTTTTACAATACTGCCCACTGAACATTTCCCCTTCTGCCCAAAATATAAACAATATTTCAACCTCTTACTTTATCTACATCCCTAACTAAATACCCTGAAGGGACCAGATTCTGTCTGATCTCTGAAACTAAGCTGGATCGGGTTTGGTTAGTATGGGAGGCCACCAAGGAATATGCAGATGAAGGCAATGGCAAGCCACCTCTGAGTATTCTTTGCCTAAGAAAATATTATGAAATTTATGGAGTCACCATAGGTTTGACAGACGATGTGGAGGCACACACACACACACATATTTGCCTTTCCTCAGCTCTTCATTTTGGTTCCATTTGGACTCCCTTTTGATTCCTCTTCTTTCCAAAAAAATATCATGCAATAATAAACACAAATCTGGCTGTCTCACTGAGCTTAAAAAGAACAAGGCTATGTTAAGTAAATGAAAGCACAATAGTTGCTTTATAGCAGTGTTTCTCAACCTGCGGGTTGGGACCCCTGGGGGGTCCCAAGGGGATGTCAGAGGGGTCACCAAAAACCACAAGAAAACAGTATTTTCTGTTAGTCATGGGAGTTCTGTCTGGGAAGTTTGGCCCAATTCTATCCTTGGTGGGGTACAGAATGCTCTTTGATTGTATGTGAACTATAAATCCCAGCAACTACATCTCCCAAATGTGAAGTCTATTTCCCCCAAACTCCACCAGTGTTCACGTTTGGGCATATTGAGTATTTGTGCCAAGTTTGGTCCAGATCCATCATTATTTGAGTCCATAGTGCTCTCTGGATGTAATTGAACTACAACTCCAAAACTCAAGGTCAATGTCCACCAAACCCTTCCAGTATTTTCTGTTGGTTGTGGGAGTTCTGTGTGCCAAGTTTGGTTTAATCCCATCATTGGTGGAGTTCAGAATGCTCTTTGATTGTAGGTTAACTATAAATCCCAGCAACTACCACTCCCAAATGACAAAATCAATTCGTTCCCCCAACCCCAAATTTGGGTGTATCAGGTATTTGTGCCAAATTTGGTCCAGTGAATGAAAATACATCCCACATACCAGATATTTACATTGTGATTCCTAACAGTAGCAAAATTACCATTATGAAGTAGCAATGAAAATAATTTTATGGTTGGGGGTCACCACAACATGAGGAACTGTATTAGGGGCTCATGGCATTAGAATGGTTGAGAACCACTGCTCTATAGAGTTTTAACTTGTGGATCCAGACTCCTTCAAGAAAATCCAGGAAGTCTGAATTATTATTTAACTGCCCCACTAATTCTTCTCCAATAATGTTGGTAGCTTTTTTTAGTAGTAACATAGTTCTCCTACAGCAATAAACAAACAGTTTAGCGCCATTCTGTAGAATGTTATGTGCTGTAAGACCCATTAAACTGGAACCCTTGTATTCTATTATTCAAAAACTCCTCTTTTGCAAATGTTTATGTCATTCAGATTTATTATTTTCACCTCATTTATAAAAAAGGCAGCATGGAGTATGCATCCCTTGTTCATTAGACTCTTGAGTTTTCCTTGTTTTTAATCAGATCAGTTTCTCTGTGATAAAATATTTTGAATCAACATAGTGATAATGTTGTAGAAATGCTACAACTTGTAGAAAGTTGTAGAAATCCTGTTGTTTGGAAGATGAGCATTTATTATTGGGTTGAGGTGCCTGAAAGTGTTGAGGCAGATAACTCCCAGCAATCTTTACGCACATGCGCACTATGAGTCACACCTTGTTGAGAATGACAACAACATTGAAGTCATGATGCTTCAATTTCACCTGAGCATTGTGAGGGAGCTGGAACATCAGGGAGGTTGAGTGTTCCTCTCTCTGGCCCCTCAATCCTAGTGTCCATGAATGTCTCTAGAATTTTAGGTATGCTGTCGAATTTTTTTAATAGGAGAAGCTTGGTACTTAACTTAGGACGTTCTACACCAGTGGTTCTCAACCTGTGGGTCCCCAGATGTTTTGTCCTTCAACTCCCAGAAATCCTAACAAATGGCAAACTGGCTGGGATTTCTGGGAGTCGTAGGCCAAAACACCTAGGGACCCACAGGTTGAGAACCACTGTTCTGCACACTCGATAACTTTCCTATGTCCTGGTCCTTCTGATTTAACTGAGGAGGAGGGGGATGCTGAATTTATTGCCCTTCCTTTAGAACAGGGTGGGAGTTGTGTGGCTCTTCAGATATGGCTCGACAGCAATCCTAGAAGTTCCCACTAATGCAGCCAATGATGAAGAATGCTGGGAGTTGCAATCTAGGAACTGGAAGACCATGCAATTCCCATCCCTGCTATAGACTTACCTTTCATCCTTGGTGCGTTTCTCGAG